AAGGTCGTCAGGGCAGGTCTCCCTGGGAAGACATCTGGGCAACGAACTGAAGGAGGAAAAGGAGCAAACTCGGAGCAGAGCTACGGGGAAAGAGGGCTGAAGGACAAGGCCAGGGCCATGGTGACAAGAAGGTCCCATGGGGCCTTGTGGGCATGTAAGACTTTGATTTAACGCTGATTGCCCAGGACTGAGGCAGGCAAGGAAAGCTTCCAGGAGGAGGCAGGGACACGTCTGTGGGTCCTAGAGGGCAAGTCGGGCTCTTACAGCTAACGACAGTAAACTCCCCCTTTAGAGCCAGGCCCAGGTTCAAATCCTGGCTTCATGGATTGTTCCTTATGAGACCTTGGGCAAAGTCTTTGCCTGTTTGAGCCAGGTCTTCTCATCAGGAGATCAGCAGTAATTCCAGTCTCTACCTGCCACAGTTGTGACGGGGTGAAATGAGGCAGCACAGGCCCTGGACCACGGCAGGTGTTCAGTCTGTGTTTGCTCAGGTTCTTCTGGGAAGGAGCACATTCCTAGGAGTGCTCCAACAGAGTCACCAGGCCAGGTCCCATCTCTTCTTCCCTTCCCAGTGGCCCCAAGCCCTTCAAACTCAGTTTAGTTCAGCTACGAGGTGAGTATCAGCCTGGGGGTCGGGGTCTCTCTCAGAAAGGATCCAGTGCATTAGCTGTAGCTTCCTCCCACCACAGGGCCTTTGCACATGCTGTTTCCACTCCCTGGGGCACCGTCCCTCCCACCCACTTCACTTGATTGGTTTAACAATGGTTTCACATTATTTCCTTTACTTCCTAGTTGGATCTTAGCCTAAAGGTCACTTACTCCAGAGAAAACATCCCTGCACCCCGCCAGGGCGGAACCCCCTGCTCCATGCCCTCACAGCTTCTGAACTTTTTTATCTCTCAACTTTTTTCATAGTCTGCAGTAACGTCTGTCTGTGCCACTAGACTGAGAGACCATGTTGGTCTTGTTCCCTGTTGTGTCCTTGGTACAAAGAGGGTGCTCAATCCGTAATTGTCAGTGCAAACCAGAAGTCTCAGCTCCAAATTGCTCCCTCCAACCCTCCATCTGTTAGACATAAGGAACTATGTCTATGGGGCCCCAAGGAACTCTGGGGCCCAAAGTGGAAGAGATCTGCCCACACTGCACGGCCGTTCTCTGCCCCAAGTCTGGTCTCTTCCTGGAGCACCCACTGACCTGCTCAGCCCCTCAGCCCCCTCCCCCAGGCACCACCTGCCACCTCCCAGATTAATGGCGAGCCAGCATGGGGAAGAAGCACCGGGCCGAAGCATGTTTAATTTTAATTTAGGAATCGCTAAGGCTACAGGCCTGCTCGGCTCTGGGCTGTCAATCAGCCTTCCTCAAGGCTGCATCAATTAGTTTAAAAATATTGAATGTAATTTTGCCTGACACAACATATTGCAGCTACTGCAAAATATAATTTATTTTAGAAGAAGAAATAATTAAACTAATTTGCATGTCAGTCAGCTGAACTGAGATGCCGGTGGGGGTGGGGGTTGGAATCATGGGGGATCTGGCCCCCAGAGAGGGCACCTGCTGCTGGGCCCTGCCTGAGGTCAGCGTGCGCCTGGGTCCAAGCGGTGGTTGCTGCTGGACGGACAAATACCCGGGCAGCTAGACCAAGCACTAAACTCAAAGTCAGGAAGCCTAGAACACAACCCCGCTCTGCCGTTGACTTGTCTGGGGCCTTAGCCAAAGTCCCACTTGCTTCTGGGCCTCAGTTTTCTCATCTCCATAATGGGTTTAACAAGACCTCCTTAACAGGTTGTTTCTTGGATAAAATGAGGTCACCGATCAGGAAGTTTGTTATAAACTGGAAAGTCCTGCGCAGAGGTGAAGATGAATTAATGGATGGATTCCTTGTTTTATACCGGAAACATTTAAAGTGGTAAAAGCATGAATTATTATTATCCATTCTTACAAATGATGCTATCTGTGATCAGGATGGGTTTGGAGGAAGTTGATTAGAGGTGAGACATCAGTCTGGACTCCCCACCTGCCAGTCACCCCAGGGTAGTGTTTGGCAACCTTTGCTACACATTAGATTCCTGGAGCTGTTAAAAAACAAAACAAAACATCAGCGACCAAGCTTTGGGCATCTGTGGGCTTTGAAGGCTTCCCCGGAGGCTGCAATATGCAGCCTGGCCGGAGACTGCCGCGACGTCAAGGCCACTGGATCCTGACTTGGGCCGGCCCACAAGCTTGGGAGGTTCCAGGCCAGCCCCCAGCTCAGGGGTCCCTGGGGTGAGCTTTGCAGATGGTAACTTTGGCGATGCAGAGGTTCACCTCTCTGGGGCTTACCCAGCTGCCCCACCTCTTAGATCTGAGGCCCTCGCTCATGCCCAAGGGTTCGGGGCTTTCCCAAGAGGTGACCTGAGACACTTCAAAAGAGAAGGCAGAACAACAGCAAAACGGTAATTGAGTGGGATAAAGGACGTGTTAGCTAACCTTACTGTGTAACATTTCACAATATATACATGTATCAGATCGTCACATGTTGTGTACACCTTAAACTTACACCATGTTCTATGACAATTATATCCCAGGAAAGCTAGAATTAATGTTTATAAAAGACGTAGGAAATACCCAACAGAACCCAAAGAAATGGTGCCAAAAAGGAGGATCTCTCCGGTTGGGGACCCAGCCCTCCAGCAGGGTGGCAGCCCGCTGAGGGAAGGACTTGTCCTGTGGTCTCCTTTCTGCGCACACACAGCACTCTGCCTCTCCCGCTAGCCCCTGCTCCACCCCACTGCAGGGGAGGGTGCCCAGGAAGGGCATTCGGGCCCTGGCCACGCCCCCTTGGCTTCACCAAGGAGGGAGGTGCCTGTCTCTGGCAGCGGGCCTCACCCTTCCCAACGCCAGAAAGCACCCACCGTCTGTCAAAGTTCTCCAGCACCACACTCTTAAAAATAACGGCTTCCCCAGCATGCCCAGTCACGACTCCCATCTCTCGCCCCTGGAAAGGCCCCCTCTAATCGCTGAAGCGGCAGATCTGGGTGAGCTGAGAAGATAAGGTGCCCCTGGCTAAGGGGAGCTCCAGAGAGGGGTCGGGTCTGAATTAATTGAAGACTTACCCTGCCACCCCCTCCTTTCCTGGACGCCCCAGGAGGTGGCTGCACCACCTCCCAGTCTCCATTCCTGTCCATCAACAAGTAAGCAGCTGATGCCCTGCGTTCAGAGGATGAGGCAGCCAGCCAGCCCCTTCCCCAAATTCATGGGGTTCCTGGCTGCCTGGAAGCTCCCAGGCTGTCCCCAGAATAGTTCTCTGCCACCCAGCCATCGAACCACTGCTTGTAAGGGGGTAGTTTCCTCTCGAGAGGATGTCCTTGAAGAGCATGTCAGTAATGAACTCATGGCTGAGACAGCTGAGGACCAGGCACCCGTGAGACCCAGAGGTCTGGGGGCACAGCTAGAAAGGGCCAACATTCTGGGGGTTGCTCAGAGAGGAGAGGTTGGGGTGAGGTGTCCCAACATCCTAGTCACTTTGATGTCACTGCTGAACAGCCCTTAGAAGGGTGTTTGTTTATTCAACAAATGCTTATGTAGCCCTTGCTGAGTGTTGCATGTGCAGTTTCAAGGGCTTTCGAGATAGTAACTCAGTCCATCCTCTCAACCAACCCATTACGACTAACCCACTTTTGCCAGTGAGAAAACTGAGGCACAGAGAAGACAAGGGATTTGGCATGGATCACACGGCTACTAAGTGACGGAATTGGGATCGGAGCCACTTGGCTCCAGAGTTCTAGATCTTAATCACTATGCTCTGCTCATTTGCCGGGTGTGGACGCTAATATCAGAGAGGGAAAGGTCTTCCTCAAGATCAAACGCTGGGTCAGGGACAGAGCCCTGCCTGGAATTCATCTCAATCCTTCCCGGCTTCGTCCATTTGTGCAACAAATGTATTTGAACCTAATGCTTGTGCCATATCCCATAATATTGAGGACCCAGGGAGTAATGGGCAGCAGAGGCCTTGACCTCAAACACATCACAGTTGGAGGAGCGGGGACTGCGTGGTTTTGCCGAGGACCCAGGCCAAGACCCACCTCCGGTGGACTTGTGATGTGGATCTTAAAAGAGCAGAAATTTGGGAGTTCAGTGGCCAGCTGGCCAAGTCTTTAACCTTTTCCGTGCTTTCATTTCTCTTCTTCAATGTGGAGGGATAAATTGTCCCAAATTCTACAAGGGTGCCTGAAATAAAGGGCGCGAATGCTCCCGGCGCGTTCTCTGCACCCTGTGGCGATGGGACGGAGCCGGCAGCAGCGATGACAGTGCCGCTGGAGGTGGGAGTGGGGGCGGTGATGTGACAGTGACACAGGTGGCGATGGTGTTGGCGGAGAGGGGGGTGGTAGTGCTGGCCTTAGAGTCTGCGATGACGGTAAAGGTGACAACGGTGGCGGCGGCAGCCATGATTCCGGCGGTGATGGCAGTGACGGCGATGACCTACCAGTGATGGTAACAGGCGTGGTGATGGCATTGTGGGTGGTCAGAGGGACAGGGGTGGTGGTGGTGGCAGAGGCGGCAATGATGATACGAATGGCGGCGGCGGCAATGATTTAATGGTGGCCGTGGGAAGAGTGACGGCGGAGGGGTACGAATGACCATAGTCGTGGTGGAGATGGTGCTGGTGCCGGTGCTGGCAGTGGGTGGCACCGGTGACTGTGGCGGTGAAGGTTGTGATGCCAATGTCAGTGGTGCCATATGCGAACGGCAGCGGTGATGATAATGCCAAGGACAATAATGGTGATGGCCACGGTGATAATCGAACAGTGGTGATGGTGATAGCAATGCTGGGGGCGACGGTGACAGTGATGATAGATAGCCCACTGTGCCAGCCGTCTGCAGTCCTGGTCCTGGCACCCGCTTGGTCGACCCACGCATCTCTAGGTGTGACCGCACTGCCTGACCTTGTCCAGCAGGAGGTGGGCGGTTGTCCAGGTCTCACACCAGACGCCTCTCACCCTCCTCCTGTGCTCTTGCTGCAGACAATCATGCCCAGCTGTCCCGGGCATCCCTAAGGATCCGAATCCTGGATGTGAACGACAATCCCCCAGAGCTGGCCACACCCTACGAGGCAGCCGTGTGTGAGGACGCCAAGCCTGGCCAGGTATCACCCAGGGGCTGGGGACTGTGGGGTGCTGCCAGGACTGGCCCGGGGCTCCTCTACCCAGGCCCAGGCCGTCACATCAGCCACCTGCCCCCTCCTCACCCTTAGCTCATCCAGACCATCAGCGTGGTGGACAGAGACGAGCCCCAGGGTGGGCACCGCTTCTACTTCCGCCTGGTGCCTGAAGCTCCCAGCAACCCTCATTTCTCTCTGCTCGACATTCAAGGTGAGTTACCTCTGAGCCCCTACATCCTAGGGTGCATGGAGGGAGGAGCCTAACTTAACTGCCCTCCTCTTCCCGCATTATTGCTGGGGACTGAGACACCCAGCAGGCTAGTGTTGGGCCTAAGATCACACAGGAAGTCCCGGCCAAGCTGGAGCAGTTACCCAGCCCGCTGGCCAACCCTGAAGAACAAGCAGAGGGTGCATTGGCCCAGTAGAGAGGGGGCATCTCAAGGGTAGAGAAAAGTAGATGGAAAGCTATGGAGAGGCAAACCCTGAGGAGCCGGGAGGGGGAGCCAGAGGCCAGGGCAGAAAGAGCCCCTGGCCTAAGTGAAGGTTGAAATGAGACACACACACACACACACACACACACACACACACACACACCCTTTAGTTTAAAAGGTACTTTATCTCAGTTGCTTTTTGCATCCTCATGGCCACCCTGGGGTATGGTTTTCTTACCCGTCCCTCCATTTTCCAGGTGATGAAATTGAGACTGTAAGAGTATAAGGAACCCGCCCAGAGCCCTATAGGGAGTCCTTGGTGAGGCTGGGATCCAAACCCGTGCCTGTTTCAGGCCCAGTCTACTTCCTACCTTGAAAGGAAATGGCCCCACCCAGCCTGAGCTGATGTCGTTGTGAGACAGGCCCTGGCATGCTCTCCAAGAACTTGAAGTCTGGACCTTTGAGGAATAGACTGGGGGCAGGGGGTGGTCAGTGGGCTGGGAGTGAAGGAACTGGGACCCTGTCCCAGCTCAGAGGGTCGCTCTCTATGCACCTCTGCAAGGTTAGCGCATCTCTAAGCCTCAGTGTTCACCATCTATGAAATGGGGCTGAAAACGCCTGCCACCCTAGGTGGCTACATGGCCCCAGGGAGACAGAGGACAGCAGGGTGTATTGTTAGTGCCTAGAATATGTTATTGCCTTCCTTCAGCAACTGTTTATTGAGCAGTTGTGCCAGGCACTGTTCTAGGCCATGATAATAACAGTGGCAAACAAAACAGAATCCCTGTCCTCTGGGATTTACATTCCGGCGAGGGGAAAGGATCCAAATAAATAATATGTTGGGGATGGTGAGTGGCTGTGGGAGTAGGAGGAATAATGTGCCAGCCACAGGTCTGGACTTTGTTTTATTCAGTGCTTGGCCCCCAGGGTGCCTCCAGCAATGACTGGCACATAGTAGGTGTTCAATAAAGTGTGTTAAACAAACAAGGGTAAGAGTAGAAGCTAATTTAGATACAATGGCCTGAGATGACCACCTGAAGGGGTCGGTAGTGGGTAGGGACCTGAAGGAAATGAGGAAGTGAGCCATGCCGATGGCTGGACAAAGAATGCTCCAGGGGGACAAAGCAGCAAAGTCCCCGAGGTGGGAACGAGCCACCTGCACGGTTGGAGGGAGTGAGCAAGGGGACAAGGAGGAGATGTCCTGACCCTGGATAGGTCTGGGATCACCCCCAAGACCTTTACACCCCTCCTCTGCAAAGGGAGAGAGGCCTCCATGGCCTCTGAAGCCAGACCCACCAGGAGTCATTGAAAACGTTTAACACCTAGTACACTTCCGAAAAGACACTGATCGTAAATAGCCCAGAGCAGGACTCTCGAGCCCCTGGCCCACCAGCACCTGGGGAAGAGGCTGAGGCATCAGGGAAGGACTTGGGGGGCTCAGGGTCACAGCTCTTTAAATCTTTTTGGAAGTATTTCAATATTTAAACAACCAGGATAGCCCGGTCTCCTCATTATTCCGGTGGTATCCGGAGCTGGCCTCGGGAGACATGGATAGCCCTGGCTTGACCTTTCCAAATTCATGAGTCTTTTCAACCCACGGGGCCTGAGCTTCTGCCCCAAATGCCTCTCTTCAACCAGAGGCCACCAGAGCTTCCGTCTGGTGGGACCACCAGGTATGAACCCTGGGAGGAGCAAGGGTGGCAGCAGCATGCTGAGGTCAACGCCGCCGTGAAAGGTCCCTTCCTCCCATCCCCACGGCCCTTCCCTGGTGTGCCAAGCCCCCTCCTCCTCACCATATAAATATCTGGGGAGACAAACGGCTACCCCAACCCATCTGTTTCTTTATACAAATTTGTAGCCAGTTTGGAAACGTGATTTATAAATATTGCTTTTGCAGCCAGGAATTGACACTGATATATGTCAGGCCAGATGGATGCATGCGGCGCTGGGCACAGATCCCACCTAGGAGGTTGGAGCAGGGTCTGAGCTGGCCAGCGGCTTCCCCAGCTGACACCAACCACTGCCCAGGAGAGCAGCTCAGGGAAGGGGTTCAGGGATGATGCCCAGGGATTCCCTCTTATGTGGTGAAGGAGTGGCAGGGACCAAAGCTCTCAAAACATATGGCTGCATGGCCAAAGACAGCAACCCTGACAAACAGATATTCTTCTCTCCTCTGTTCTTACTTGGAAATTTGAGGCTGAGCCAGAGCCAGCCACTCATTTTTCAAATCGAATTCTCTGTACCTCCATTACCCCTATTATTTCACACCTAAAACACACAATAGCTTCCTAACTGGTCTTCTGCATCCACTCTTGCATTTTCATGGGAAGCTCCCTTGTCTAGAACATAGGCTCAGCAAGGGCAGGGATACAATAGATACAATAGATACAATCTCTGCCCACTTGGAACTCACAGTGAAGTGGACTTTGAGCTGGGTCACCTTAGACTTGTCTTTCTCTCCAAGCCTCAGTTTTCTCTCTCTTTTTTAAAAATTTTATTTCTTCATTTTTAGAGAGAGAGGACAGGAGAGAGAAAGGGAGGGAGAGAAACATCAGTGTGTGGTTGCCTCTTGCACGCCCCCTACTGGGGACCTGGCCCACAATCCAGGCATGGGCCCTGACTGGGAATCAAACCTGCGAACCTTTAGTTCACAGGCCAACACTCAGTCTACTGAGCCACACCAGCCCCGGCTCCCATTGCTTTTAAGAAAATAATTCAAATTCTCTACTATGCCCTCTAATACTTTCCATGATGGGCCCCTGCCTCCCCCTCCAGCCTCATCGTGACTCACTTTAGCCATCACTCTCATTCGTCCAGCCCCAAAGAACTGCTTTGGGCTCCTTGAGTGTATTGTGTTTCTTCAACCTCAGAGCCTTTGTGTGGGCTCTTCATTCAGCGCTCAGCAATAATATTGCTGCTTCCAAGAAGATCCTCCTGACCTTCCAGACTGGGTCAGGTCCTCTGTTAGGTGCATTTCCTATACTTTTCCTCATTAGCCCCCACCATGGTTTGTCATTATAGACTAAATTTGGGGTCTATTTGATTAATACTGGTGTCTCACATTAGAATACAAACTCAGATCCAGCACTGTTGGTTTAGCTCTCCATGGTTTCCCCCCAAGTGATGGGCATGGTGCCTGGCACATACAAGGTGGGATTCCAAAAACTGGAATTACCTTCCGGAGGGCAGGCCCCCTGTAGCACAGGCTGCCCCCCCGGGTGAGTGTTCTAAGAACCTACCTGTATCAGTGTACCAGCTGGCGTTGTTGTGAGAGGCTGCATTCAGCTTCAGTGAATTTTTTTTTGAAGGACTCAGTGCATTTGCCCGTTTCATGATGGGTGATTTATGAGTACGGCTGCCCATGCCACGCTGAGTGTTCAGCAGTTTTTAACCAAACACTGCATGACCCTCATGCCCCACCATCCACATTCACCCAGTCTCACCCCAAGTGATTTTTTGTTTGTTTCCCAATGAATAAAGTCCTCAAAGGGAAACATTTTGACTATGTGAAAGAGGTGTAACAAAAATGGCAGCAGCACTAAAAGGCATCAAAACCCATGAGTTAAAAAATTGTTTTGAGCAGTGGAAAAAACATCTTAATAGGCATATTGCATCGAATGGAGAGCACTTTGAAGGTGACTGAAGTTTAAACGTGTAAGAATAAATACACAATTTTTTATAGATAAATCCTGGGTTTGGGGGGATCTCCCCTCATAGTAGTTACTCAATAAAGATTTACTGGATGGATGGATGGATGGATGGATGGATGGATGGATGCATGAATGGATGATTGGGGTGGATAGAAAAGGTAGCTATGTGAACAATTCACTGAATAAGTTCAGATACGTCACCAACTTCCACATATATAAAATGGGGACGGATGTCAGAACTCTTGGTTGGAAGGATTAAACATTAGTATGTATTTAAAGTATCCACACGGTCCTTGATACATAGAAGGCGTGAGTACCTGCAAAGGAGCCCCACACCATTCCCTCCCTTCCCCATCTCGCTCTTGGGTCTGCTTTCCTCCCCAGGGGAAGGCAGATGTTTTCACAGCTGGGGCTGATTCAGCCTTTGACAGGAGGGCTAGAGTTCAGCCAGAGCTCGAGGAGCTCGCCAAGGACCGCAAAAGTTACCCCCAAAGTTGTGGTTCATTCAAGCATCGTTCGTCAAGTCTGGCTCCATGCCAGGGAAGAGACGGGCTCACGCTAACGTAACACAACCTGACAAGCACTGTAACAGAAGTGTGCATGGCGCCGGCATAGTCAGAGCAAGGAGAGGGAAGCCATAAATCCTCCCTTCCCAGGGAAGCGGAGAAAGGAGGCCACAGAAAGGAGGTGACATTTAGCTGGAGCATGACGGATGAGGAATTTGCCCAGGCAAGGAAGTGGAGAAAGTGTTCCAGATAGCAGGAACTCCGCGAATAAAGGACAGGGCAGCCTAGACGGAGAGCAGGCATATGGTGCAGCACCAGGCACCGGGGAGGGGCATAAAGAAAAGAACAACCAGCACTTACGGTGAATTTTTATGTGCCGGGAAGTATTCTGAGGGTTATGCATGAATTTTACCATTTAATCCTCACACCTACGTGATTCTATTTTCCTCAGCCACAGATTAGGAAACTGATGTCCAGAGAAGCTGAGTTTCCCAAGCTCGTAAATTGTCCACTTGGCATTATTTTTAACATTTTTATGGAAATTTTCAAATGGGTGTCAAAGTGGATAGAATAATATTACGAACCCTCGTGAGTGAACCACGTGAGCTTCCACCCATGGCCAATCTCGTTTTAGCTGGACCTCTAATCCACTTCCTAGATGTGCTCAAGGTCACAGACAGCCCTCCAAGGGCTCTTTTTCTTGCATTGTGTCCTTTATGGAGAAGGCCAGGGCTGGGGCCCTGAATTGAGTGCTGCAGAGGAGAGGCTGGGTAAACTGGCGCCCCAAAGCTGGGGAAAGGTCCCAGGCTGCCCGAGTCGGAGGTCAGCGAGACCAGCTGCAAGACCTCAAGGGCAGGGAGGAGGATTCAGGGAGACAGGGCCTCTCTCGTGCAGTTGGCTGTGAAGGGTGGGGACAGTGGCCAGCTGGACTCTGAGCACTTCTGTTCAACCATGTTGGCAGCCATTGAAATGATCGAGTCTCAGGGATGGCCCCGCCTATACTGGAGAGGTGTAGAGGAGGCAGGAAGGCCGGGACAAGTGGGCACCACCCACCGCATACGCCCTTGTTCCAAGACCAGACACCCAACCCCCGAGTCCGGCCTGACATTCCTAACCACAGGCTACAGCAGGGCAGTGAGTATGTATGTTAGTTCACCATCCTCTCTGGCCACGTGGGTTTTAAAAAAGGAAAGAGGTGGGTGAGGAAACCTTGGCACGATAGGACCCCCTCACCAGGCCCTGGGGGCCATGCCCCGGCGCTCTAGGTTCAGTCTTTTAGACTCCTGACAAAAAGCTTTTTTGGCCAAAGGCAGGCACCAGCCAGCATCCCCAGTCTTCCGGTGACCCAGGACTTGTCAGAGCTCAGCAAGCCACAACCCAAGGGCCACTGGTCTCCAGGGTCAGGATGCATTGGGCAGCGTGGGTGGAATCTGGAACAAAAACAGGCTGTTGAGACAAACGGCCAAAAAAAAAAAAAAAAAAAAAAAAAAAAAAAAAAGACGTAGCCAGGGACAGGACCTTGGCCCAGCTCGGGATGGAATCTTGGAATAGCTTGAATAAAAAAATAGAATCTTGAGACAGCAGGGAGTATCTTGGGACAGCTAAGGACAGAATTGTGGGCTCCATAGCAGGAATCAGGCTCCTCCGGCGGTTGGCAGCAGAAGTTAGAGTCAGGTGGTAACGGAATTTTGGGAGATCGGGGAATAGGCCCATTGGTCAGCTGGGAGGCTGTAGCTTGCGGCACAGGGAGGCAAATCCCGAGGTGGAAACAGGAGGGGGCCGGGAAGGTGACCCCGGACCCCAAGTCACACGCCTCTCCCTGTTTCTGGGGCAGACAACACAGCCGCGGTGCACACGCAGCACCTGGGCTTCAACCGGCAGGAGCAGGATGTGTTCTTCCTACCCATCCTGGTGGTGGACAGCGGGCCGCCCACGCTGAGCAGCACGGGCACCCTCACCATCCGCATCTGTGGCTGCGACAGCTCCGGCGCCATCCAGTCCTGCAACACCACGGCCTTTGTCATGGCCGCCTCGCTCAGCCCCGGCGCCCTCATCGCTCTCTTGGTCTGTGTCCTCATTCTGGTTGGTGAGTCCCCTGAGAGCCACCCCCCTCCTCGATGAGCCCCATCCTGGGGCCCTGGATTTCCTTTCCTAGTCGTCCCTATGGAACCTCAGTGTCTCTCTCCATACAAGGAAACGCCGGCTCGAAGGATCCCCAGGCCCTAACCTGCAGCGCCCGTGAGAAGTCTTCTCAGGAGCAGACCCCCACCAACCCCAAAGAGTGTCGACCCCCACCTGAGACTAAATCATGTTGCCCCACCCTCTGCACAGTCCAGGCTCTCTCTAATTTTTTAAAACCAAGCCTATTTTGAAAACTTCTCCCATGTCTATCGTCCTACTTTCTTCTCTGTGTAGGACTTGTAATAAAAGGCTCTTGTAAACCTCACAACCACTCAGCCAGGAGGACCATCCCCATTCTTCAGATGAGGAAACCGAGGCTCAGAGCGGTCAAGTGGTTTGCATAAAGCCCTGAAATCAGGTCTTCACACCCTGTGCTCCCGGCTGCTGTATCGCGCCTGCTCTGAACCTACGCTGGGAGCAAAATAGTGAAGCAGCTGGGGCAAATCTTAAGAATTTAGAGTCCGCCAGCAGCCAATTGAACGCCCAACGTGTTCCAGTGAAGAGGTCAAGTTCCAGGAGCTAAACTGAACTCAAGTGGCATAATGCCACCTCTCACCCTGGTAGCAAAAAGGCTTCATCTCAGGCTTAACTACTAGACTTCACAGAACAGCCAGAACTAGAGGAAGTTGAGGGATGTCCATGCTGCAGATGCCAGCCTTGCTCGGTTCCCTGTGAGGTGTCAGCTGCCCCCTACTCCTCATTGCCTACCACCACCCAGCCCCCTGAGGACCTGCTTGTGGCCAAGGTGCACCGCCTCAGGTCCCTGCGGAGGCCCTGGGCAGGCTCCTTCTAGCTGGGAGGCCCTGCCCCCCCTCTTCTCTCCCCTCCCAGCCCACGGCTCAGAAACCCTTTTTCCAGAGGGTGCACTTTACAGCGGTTTCATTTTCCGAGGCAGTGCAAACAAATTTCTGCCTAATTGCCCACAAACGAAGAGAGTGCACATCAGTGCTCTAAAGGTGACGGGCGGAATCGCTGATCAGGCCTGGCACATCTGTCGCCTACCGCCTGCGCTCCCTACCATCTGCTCTCATGGGCATCCCCTCCGCAGCTCCCCGCCTCCGGCTCCGAAAGCCGTTCATCCATCTTCCCCACTTCTCTCATGACACCTCCCCTCCCTCCGGACCTGTCCTTGGCCCCCACCCCTGCCCTGTCATGAGCCACCTTGTTAGACCATGAGCCAGCGCCCTGCCCCATGGCCCTAGCAGCTGGCCCTGGCCGCTGGCCCCGCCGGAGCTGCTTGGAGCAGCAGGAAGAATCCAGGGCCTGGCATAGTACCCAGCACACTGTCCACTCACCCACCCACCTATCCATTTATTTCTCCCCTTCATTCATCTGTTCCTTATTTATCCATCCATTGAGTTCCCCCTCTTTGCTAAACTGTTCTAGGCCCTGGGACTCATCAGTGAGTGAAAGAGACTAGAAGCCCTGAGTACCTGGAAAGTTGGGGTTGCCGTCACCGAGATGGAGCAGACGGGGTGGGGAAGGGGGAAAGATTATTAGCTCCAATTTGGACATGTTAAATATGAGACCCTCTTGGTCAACCCAGAGAGGACTTGTTGCGTAGGAAACTGGATGTACCATCTAGATTTCAGGAGAGCTGTCCGGAGGGGCGGGGAGGTTGCAATAGAGGGGTCGTCAGCCTCTCCCTGGAGCTCAAAGTCATGAGAGTGAAGGAGAGCACCAAGCGAGGGATTGTGGGTGAAGGTCCAAGGACCGAGACCTGGGACAGCTGAGGTTAAGGAGTCGGAGAGGAGAGGAAAAGCCTACTTAGACGACCGAGTGCTCAGAGCGGTGGGAGGAGGCAGAGCATGTGGAGTGCTGGACGTCCAGGGAAGAAAGCCGGGAAGGGATGGTTCATTCATTCACCCACCCTTTTGCTCACCCAGGTTTCCACGCAACTCTTCATTCGGTCATTCCTTCAACAAGCATGCTTCACATGCTTGCTGCACGCCAGCCACCAAGCTAGGGACCGTGCCCCAGGTCCTTGAGGGTAGGGGAGAGTGTGTATTTTGGGGTGGGGGGAGGCCACCGTGTTAACACGACAGGGCCTGAGGTAGGATGGAATGGTGGCTCTCAAACCTGTAGATCTAGGGTGGGACCTGAGGATTCACATTTCTAACAAGCTCCCAGGACGTGCTCCATGCGGCTGACCCAGGGGCCGAGGTTTGAGAAGCGGTGTGATAGAGAAAGGAACCGCTCACCAAGGGAGCGTGGAGGTGATGGCACTGAACCTGGCCTGGAGCTCTCTGGGAGCGGCTCCTGCAGGAGGCTCCAAGGACTAAGAGGGGGTTCAGGACTGCTGGAGTGGCCAGAGGAGGGCAAGGGCCACAAAAAGGTCAGGGTCATATCTCACTCCTCCAGCCCTTAGCTGCTCCCTTCAAACCCCCTACTACCTGCAGACCTCAGGGGTGTATCTCTTGATGGAATTGAGGATGAAGACCTCAGAGGCTGGGATCAGCCCTCAACACCCATGAAGTTTCTGAACGCTGCCCTCTGTGCCCCCAGTGACGGTGGTGGTTTGGCCCCAATTTGCACACCTTCCCAGATGGAGAGCTCACTACCTCTCCTAGGCTGGGCCGGCTCCACTGGGCGTGGGGTGGGAGGACGCAGGAAAACGTGGGTGGGGCCCAGCCCTCACTCGCCCTGTCTCATTTTCCCACGCAGTGCTGGTGCTGCTGATCCTCACCCTCAGGCGCCACCACAAGAGCCACCTGAGCTCCGACGAGGACGAGGACATGCGAGACAATGTCATCAAATACAACGACGAGGGTGGAGGCGAGCAGGACACCGAGGCCTACGACATGTCGGCACTGCGTAGCCTCTACGACTTTGGCGAGCTCAAGGGAGGCGAAGGGGGCGGGGGCGGGGGCGGCGGGGGCGGCCCAGGCGGGGGCGGGGGCGTGGGCAGCCCCCCGCCGGCCCGCCTGCCCTCGGAGCGCCACTCGCTCCCACAGGGGCCACCGAGCCCCGAGCCGGACTTCTCGGTGTTCAGGGACTTCATCAGCCGCAAGGTGGCGTTGGCGGACGGGGACCTGTCGGTGCCGCCCTACGACGCCTTCCAGACCTACGCCTTCGAAGGCGCGGACTCGCCGGCCGCCTCGCTCAGCTCGCTGCACAGCGGCTCGTCGGGCTCCGAGCAGGATTTCACCTATCTCAGCAGCTGGGGCCCGCGCTTCCGGCCCCTGGCCGCGCTCTACGCAGGCCACCGCGCAGACGACGAGGCCCAGGCCTCCTAGCCCCACGCCCTGCCGTCGGGCGCGGCCACTCGCCCCATCCAGGACCCTACTGGGCCCAAGGACAAAGCATTTCCCCCACTCACCCTCATCCCCAACCCACCTACCCTCCCAGGGTGGCCGGACGGGAGGGGGACTTTTGGGGGGAGGGCTCCCGGAAGGCCCCCCCAAGAAGGGGCGATGCAGCTTTCGGCCCAGAGGTGCAGGGATGATGACCAACGTCATTAAAACAGCAGCGAGACCAGGCACTGCGTGGATTTGGGTTAGAAAGGGAAATTGGGTGTCGCTGCTGCGGGGAAAAGGGGCAGTTATTCACTCCTGGCTTGGGGGGAAAATCCCTTGGGGGGAGGATGCTGCAAAGAGCCCCCAGGATTCCCCCTTCAGAGTTAAAAGGAAAAGAAGGGCTGTTCATTTACTAAGCAGCTACTGTGTGCTGGGATACTGTAGAGAGACAATCTTAGCCATCACAGGAACCGTGAGGTGGGGCCCTGCAGGTAACAGATGGAGAAAGCCACCCAGAGAAGTGGCTGTGACCTGTCCAAGGACACCCAGTCAATGACCTTGCTTCTCTGGATTTCAGTTTCCTCAACTGTCAAACGAGGCTAATAACAGAACCTACCTGGGAGAGTTGTGAGGATAAAAAGGGTTCACAGGTCGAGGGGTTAGGACAGTGCCTGGCACATAGTAGGTGTTCAATAAATGTTAGCCTTTGATACTATTACTATCTTTGTCGTTATTAGAAGCCCGGCGTGTCTGCCTCCCAGGTCTGAGCTGTCTCCCTTGACCCAGTTGCCCTCCACCTTTTCCCAGCATCTCCAAGGGAAGAGGAAATGACCTCAACTGCCAGTCCTGTTCCTGCCCTGACAGGGAACAGGGACGTTCCCAGGGACTGTGGAGCCTTCCAGAGTCTCAGGCAACGCTGGGATAGGACACGCGGCAGAAGTGCCAAGGAAGACAAGCTGGACGGCTCCAGGACTTGGATGAGGAGGGAGGGTTGGCAGAAAATGGAGAGACCGGAGCCACTGAGTGCAGAGTCTGCCTGGTCCTGGAACCCATCAGCCTCCCCATTCATGGACCCCAAATTAAGAGCCCCAGGGGCTAAGTCAGCTCTAAGCCCCCAGCTCTAAAACCATTGGGTTATAAGATACAGGTTATTTGTCTTCCCACTCCACTCTCAACTGATTCATCGTCTCCACGTTGATCGCTGGTGAATCCCAGCTCATGCTAGCTGGGCATCCTTCATCAAGGTCTTCAACGACTGAAGCCTCAGTTTCCTCATCTGTAGAACTAGGCTGATGACAGTCCCTCCGTTAAGGGATTGTTAAGAGGCTTAAGGGAGATAATGAATGTTAAGCTCTATTCTCACTGCCTTCTTGACATATTGAAAGTGATCAATAAGTACTCATTAGCCTTATTTTTTTATCCTTCCAGGGAACATTCATTCATTCCTTCCACATTAGCCTGGGTTCACTGTGACAGATCCAGAGATGGTCATTATGTCCTGAGTGCCTTGCCTGTACTATTTCACCTAAATTAAATATTGTCAGCCCCAGTTCACAGGTGAGGAACCTGAGGCTCAGGGAGCCATAACCCACCTAAGTTACACAGATCGTCAGTCCTTCCTGCCTTCCAGTAACTCAAGGCCCAACTGGGCAAGGCGAGGAGGCAGGGAGCAGAAGTGGTCAATAATTATAATGCATCTGGTAAGAGCTGCCGCAGAATTAACTGAACAAGGTCCTGGAAACACTGAAGAAAGCTTCAATAATTCCTGGAGTGCTTCCCAGAGGAGGTGACTCCAGCTGGATCTTGAAGAATGAGTAGAGATGTATGAGATGGCCAAGCAAGCAAAAGCATGCCAAGCAGAGAGAAGAGTGTCCACATAGGCTGGGGGCAGGTGACAAGCAAGAAGCATGTGGTGGCTTCCGGAGCGGTGTGCAGTTGCAGGGGCTGGATCACTGCGTGGAGGAATGGTGAGGTGGGCGGCAGGAAAGGCCGGCTGAAGGGGGGTTGGGGAAAGAAGGCCAGGCCCCCCCCCAAAAAACTGGTGCTTTGTTCAAGTTGAATATGTCTCCTAAAGTCCACAGAGGGTGGTTAATGCTAGGGATATGAGGTTTGTGTGGCAGGCTCAAGTCGGGGGGTACTGGGACCCTGGTCCCGTGCAGGACCCTAAACTCATGGTTCCCATAGCTCAATGCTACAAATGGGTATGGTAACTCAGGGACTGATGGGGCGATGTGGGGGCCCCACATCCCTCTATGTGTGCCCAGCTCTCACATACAGAATCCCAACCACAATTTGGCTATCACATCTCCATTGTAGAGGGAGAAATCAAGACCTAGAGGAGTAAAGCGACTGGCCCCATGAGACAGAGCTAGGACAACAGAGGACGCCTGATTGCAAGTCTGTTCCTTCCACACGTGCCTGCTCCTTGACAGATTCTGACCCTGCCAAAAAGGAGGTCACAGGCAGGTTATGTGTCCAGAGGGACATATAAACACAGAGTCACAGAACACTTGAACATCTTGTCCAAATCCCACACATGGGCGATGACCTTCCCAAGGCCACCCCGGATTAAAGATCTTGCCAGAAATAAAAAACGTTATTCATCCAGATTTTTCGCCTGAGCCTCGGGCTCAACCATTTACCAGCTGTGGACTTCAGACAGGTGGCTTCAAACCCTCTCTCTGTCTTTGTTTTCTTATCCAAGAAATGCACACATTCAGAACACCTCCATAGGGCTGTCGTGAGGATACACTGCAAAATCACCGCTGACACTCACTGGGCTTCCCACGTGCCGGCCATTGCTCTAAGCACTTCTCGTGAACTGCTCATTTAATCCTTCGACAATCCAATGAGGTGACCCTTATTTTAAAGGTGAGGAAACTGAGGCACGAAGAGACTAAGTAACTTGCCCGGGATCGAGCCAGGGCATGCAGGCCCCCAGAGCCTGCACCCTCAGCAGCACACACAGTGTCTGGCACACGGCAAGCACCGAACACGTAGCCTGGGCATGTCCGATGTCACTGTCTGTGTCCTGGGAGAGCTTGTTCCTCCGCTCACTGCCACGTCCCACAGCCTGCGGGCATCCTCAAGGATCTCCGCGTTTTCTGCTAATCCCAGGGTAAGACACAGAGGGAAAGATAATGTTCCTCTGGTCCCTTTGCCTCCAGCTCCTGCACGTGCCTTCTCCTCTGGGCCCTCACCAACCCAGCAGTGAAATCCAGCGAGACCAGCCCCTTCGCTGGGTTCCACAAGCTGCCCGCTGATGCCAAGCATTTTGCGGGCTCAGTCTACCTCTCTGATGGTTTGGGGTCACAGAGAAGGGTCTTGTGGAAGACAGAGACTTTGGCCATCTGTCTGGTTGGTGTCCATCAAATTCCCCCACAAGCTCCAAATCCCCTCCCTGTGCTATGCAGAGAGCACGGCCACCCCTGGGCACACTCAGCTCTCCCCAGGAGCTCCGAGGACACAGACCCTCCTCCCATTGAACCATGCCTGCCCTCCTTACGCGGCATCTGGGAAAGCGAAAAGAAAAAAACCTCCATCACCGCCATCATCATGGGACAAAATAGTATTCAGAGTCATGAGCAAGAATTAATGTATAGCTGGCCAAAAATTTAGAACCAGCGATACTAATGACAATGACATGGTAACAATGGTGTTGGTGGTGACAGCACATTTGCACAGGGCTCACTGCATGCCAGGCACTGCTCTAAGCACTGCCGATAATTATTTTTCAGCAGGTAAAACTGTGGAGGGTGGGGCTGATGGTGATTGTGTTTAGTGCTTTACACAAGTTGCCTTGTTTAATCTAAGCGGGCAGACCACGCGCCCTATTTTGTAGATGAGGGACCCAGTGCTCACAGATGAGGACTTGCTCATGGGCATGAAGCTTGTAAGGGCCAGGACACCCCACACGAGTCTGCACAGGCCCAGGACGACTCGGCTCCTGAGTGGAGTTTCTGCGCGAGTGTGGGACAGAGAGAGAAGCCGTTGGTGAGCCGGGGAGGCCCTCCAGGCAGGTGGCAGAACTGAGGAGCAAGGTGGAGGTGGGGCCCGGGCCGCAGGCCAAGCCCGGGCCTGCGTGTCTGTTGCGTCCCCGTGTGCATGTGCCTGCATGTGGCCGTGGGCATGCACCATGGAAGTGGGAAGCCAGTGCGGAGCACGCAGGTCAAGAACTAACCCCCGCTTCCTGCCCACGCCGCTGAGAGAGCTGGCTGCGGTCTCAAGGGGCGGCATCCATCAGCCAGCCGTCACTGCCGCCCACCCTCAGGTCACGAATCAGCAGCACCACTCACCTCCTGCCAGCAAGCGCTCTCAGGCCAGCTCTGTCACTGGCCGCCGAGCCTTTGGAAAGTGTAACCCTGTCAGCCCTCGCCGTGAGGCAAGAGGGGTCACGCCTCAGTGCGTGCACACGTGTTCCCTCAGGCACGTTCCTGCTTTGTGCACAGCGCAGACACAGGCATGCTCACGGCCATGCACCAGAGCATATCCCTCCCTGCAGGTCTGCAAGTGTGCTCACACGCCTGCACACCATGCCTGTACCAGAGGCAGGCCCTCACGTGCACGCTTGCATTTGCACAAGTATATGCATGCCTCCCATAGGGGTGCGCTCTCTTACACGTGTGTGCATGTGTGTCCACTGATACGTTTCCATGAGCCAACACATTTTCCATCTGGGCATGCACTTGTGAACATGCATGTGTTCCAAACACTCCCAAACAGGCACACAGTACACATGCGTGTGCCCACATAGATGTGCTTGTGTACATGAACTCATAGCTCCACGCACACATTTGTAATGTATACACACACTCATGCATGCACAGGAAAGCATATGTAGCCTCAGGAACAATTACAAACTCTAATTTCAAGTTCATGATGCCCATAGATGTGTTTGCACATGTGAGCACATGTGAGGCCTGTCTGTACATAATAGACATGATGACTTAGAAGGATCTAAACAAACGGGCATCTCCAACAAGCACTCAGATCTGTACCAAGCTGGCACACACATGAATGACATACACCCCTGTACATCTGCTTGTCTATGTGTGTACTTCCACACCTAAGCACCTCCGTCCACGTGCACCTTCAGGCAGGCCCCCCCATGGTTCACCCACAGCCAGGTCACATGTGCAGAACTCCACACATAAGCGTGTACTCCAACAGACACGTGCCTCTGAAGCTTATCTCCCACACGTGTGCGCAGTCAGAGCTCTGGCGCTGGCGTGCACGCACGGCCCCCGGGGTGCAGCCTGCCCCAGCCCCAGATTGTCAGGTGTGCTGGGGACAGCAGGAACGGTGCCCACACGCAGAAATCGCCACTCACGCAGAATTGCATCTGCTGCAAACTTCTCATTTGCTGTGCAAATGATGATTAAATGTTATTGTGCAAGAGAAAATGGCAAGGAAGATTCATTAGCTTTATTGTCAGGAAGGACTCCATGGGCTCCAGCTCCCCACTCCAAGGCTGGCGTAACCCTCTGTGTGCCGGGTGCGCCGCGCTCAGATGTGGGCTGCGGAGAATGTAGGCCGGGGAGATAGATCCCAGCCCTGGGCCACGTGGGCTAGCCTGGGGGAGGGAGTCAGGAGTCCAGGGGGCCACTCCAACCTTGCCCCTTGTTCGCTGCGCAGGCTCGGGCTTGTCATTTCATTCCTCACCTGATCTCTCACCCCTACCATGGC